AGAGATAAAAAAATGAAAAAAAGGATGAAAAATGAAAAAAAAAAAGAAAAGAAAAAGAAGAGAAGAGAAGAGAAGAGATGTCAAATGGAAGTTTCTCAAATATTTGCCTTTAATTGTCTTGCTAATATACATAAAATCATGCCATTGCTCTTTGCATTTTCCTCCTAGGGTAATGCATCCTAGTCTGATGGAATTTTCTCCTAATAAAAAATCTTAGTCTGAGAAATTTTTTTCTAAGATAAATAAAACCTAGTTTGATGAATTTTCTCATAGGATAGAAATCTTAGTGTGATGAATCTTTCTCCTAAGATTAAAAAAAACAAAGAAAGAAAAAACGTAGTTGGATAAATCTTTCTCCTAGGATAAACGTCTTAGTCTGATGAATCTTTCTCCTAAGATTAAACAAACTGTGCAACAACACACGAAAAAAATAAAATAAAAAAGGCAACCTCTCTTCTCTAGCTTGAACACACACAAATACACGAAAAGAGGTGAGGGGAAAACAGATCGAGATCGAGAGAGAGAAGAATGAAAAACAAAAACGATCTTCTCCCAAGTCACCGGTTTATTTTAAATCTCAAATTGAGGAAATTGACTCTGTTTTACGGTCCGCGAAACACAGAAGATTGGGTAAGAAATTCTATTAACCCGGGAGAAGGTGTGAGGCACTCCCAAGTTCTGTAGTTTTAGCGCGGTCGCTTTAATCATACCTTGTTTAACTAATTATTTAATTACGTATTTTAGAACCTATGTGTATTTTTCCTTTTACAGCTTTTATTTATGAATTTATCCTTGAAACGGATCACATGTGTGTAAATCCGTTTTATTTGGCCCGCTAAAATCATGTCACGCGTACGTGTACACAATCAATCACGCTTTATTAATTATCAAAATTGTTTGACCAAAATTGCGCGAACGCGTACTTTGATTTATTTTGGAAAGAATCATAATTTTGTCACGCGAACATATACACAATCACAATAATAGATTAGAACGCGCCTAAAGCATCCTATGATATTTGTGAAGTAATTATTTTTCTATGGCTTGAGTCTTTGAGATTGTTGTAGTAAAGGTCCAGATGTTGACAGTTGGAAAAAGATGTATGTTTTAACTTTAAGGAAGACTGGCAGCGTGGGTTGATCGAGCCAAATAGCAGCGTCTATTAGACTTTGCTTTTTACGTGGGCAGATTTGGATATAATGGATATTTTATGGGCTGGTTTGGGTCATAAAAAATAAGGAAACTTTACGTAAGTATCACAATTTAAAAAAAATGTAATAAATTCGTAGCATGAAATCCAATATTATAGTTATGACAGGAAAATATTTATATTTGTAGCACACAGTTCCATTAAAATAGGAATATTAATTATTAATCTCTAAATATAAGCAATTTGAATAGAAAGTTAATAATTCTTTGTACAAAAATCATGCCTTTTTTTCTCTTTATCTATTAGCTTTTCTTCTTTTTCTTCATCTTCTTAATTTTATTTTCTGCCGAAACTAATATATTTTCTAAATTTATTCCATTCGTTTTCTTTTTAATTATCTTTCTTAAGTTTTTCTCTTCCTTCTTTCTTTCTTTCTTTCTTAACATAAATATATTACTTTGATAATAATATACGTTAATATATACAAAACATATATAAAAANCAATTCAGTAAATAACAGCAAATAAGCTAAAATAAAATACAGCGAGTGCGGAATAATATAAAAAGTTCATTAATTACTACCACCCCGATCTAGAGTCACAATTCACGAACTTTTAGGATTTACAACAAGTAACAGTCTGAAAGAAATACAATTGTTTGAACGAAAGAGACAGTAAAGAAAAAAAACAGAAAAGATAGACGCGGACTTCAAGGTCTGCGAACGCCAACAGATCTACCTTGAGTCTCCGATGAACCAGACCGAGCTGCTACGCCTCTCGATCAGCTGGGACAAATACCAAAATCTGCACAGGAAGTACAGAGTGCAGTATCAGTACAACCGACCCCATGTACTGATAAGTGTCGAGCCTAACCTCGACGAAATAGTGACGAGGCTATGAAAAGACACCTACATAACAAACATGTGCAATTTAACACTATATGTACAAATAACAGCTAAACATGTACTATTGGGAGGGAGAAACATGCTGAGGGGAATACGAGATAGAGAGCTACAGTAGAATGGTAACTTGAACCGCCAATATACTATGGACCAATAAGAACAAGTAAACACAGTAAAGAAAAAATGTACGGTATCACCCTTCGTGCTTTTACTCTCAACCTCACCATAAAATCAATAGAAACGATACGGCAACACCCTTCATTAACACTCACAATATGGCACGGCATCACCCTTCGTGCATTAACACTCACAATATGAAACGGCATCACCCTTCGTGTATTAACACTCACAATATGGCACGGCATCACCCTTCGTGCATTAACACTCACAATATGAAACGGCATCACCCTTCGTGTATTAACACTCACAATATGGCACGACATCACCCGTCGTGCATTAACACTCCCCTTTACTATAATACAATGAACAAATAACAACAGAGAGATAGAATAACAAGTACAAGCCTTACTTCAACATTTGGTTCCACAATATCAACCTCAGCTTGGGAATCAATACTCAATTATCACCAGAAGATCCGTAAATATGATAAGAACGATCAATTTAACAATACTAGTCTAAACATGGATAATATGAACAAATGAAGCTATAATTGCAAGAAACCAAGCCCCGTCTGCATGCTTTAACCCGACTACAATGCATAAGTACTTGTCACCTCACATATACGAGGTTCCCCAATATTTAAACATGTAGCAAATAGACAAACAAGTCGTATTCCCTCAAGTCAAGGTTAACCATGACACTTATCTCGCTCCGAAGACCAAACTCAAAGATCAGCCATGACTTTTCCTTTCAAACAAGCCTCCGAATAAATAGAATCTAGCAATTTACGAACCAAACGATTCAATTTAAGCCTTAGGAACTACCCACGATTGTAAAGAATTCAATTTAGGCCATTATTGAAAAAGTCAACAAAACTACAAAAGTCAACACCCGGGCCCGCTTGGTCCAAACCCGAAATTTGGACCAAAATTCGATTACCCATTCATCCCAAGCCCGGTTATGTAATTTGTTTTGGAATCCGACCTCAATTTGAGGTCTAAATCCCCATGTTTTTCAAAAATTCCTAATTCTACCCAAACCCCCCAATTTCTACCATGAAAACTTTAGATTTTAGGTTGAAATTTTAGGAAAAGTAGTGAAAGATTGAAAGAAACTAGTTTAGAATCACTTACCAATGATTTGGGGAAGAAAAGTTCTCTGGAAAATTTTCTCTAGGGTTCTTGAGTTTGCAAATTTAAAGAATGAACCAAAAATCCCGTCTAAGTCATATTTGATCAGGTGCAAATGTCGCATTTGCTACCCGGGGTTCGCAAATGTGAACCCCGTAAATGCGAAGCTCTCCACACTTCTGCTTTCTTCGCAAATGCGAAGAATGGTTCGCAATTACGAACAATGATCTCCGCAAATGTGACCATTTGATCGCATTTGCGATCACTGTCTCCCCATGTCCCTCTTCGCAAATGCCAAGCTTTGTTCGCAAATACGAACTCAGGCCTTCCAAGCTACTCTTCGCAAATGCGATGAGTAGCTCGCAAATGCGAACCCTTCAGTGGTCGCAATTGCGATGATTGACCTCGCAATTGCGAGGTCTGAGGCCTGCAATAAAACTGAAGCACACCAGCAATGCTCTAAGTCCAATTTTCACTCTGTAGTCTATTCGAAACTGTAGGCCTGCAATAACACCTAGAAGTATGAATCGAACACCAAAATCAAATAAAATTTTCAAGAAACTTTAGAATTTCTATATTAACAACTGGACGTACGAATCACGTCAAACCAACTCCGTTTCTCATCAAATTCGACAGCAAATCATAAATATTATAGTGGACCTGTACCGGGCTCCGAAACCAAAATACGGACCCAGTATCAACAAAACCAAACCTCAGTTAATTTTTAAAATCCATTAAACTTTCAGATTTTTAATTTTCAACAAAAATTCATAATTCGAGATGGAGACTTCCGAATTCGATTTCGGGCATATGTTCAGGTCCCATATTTCGACACGGACCCACTGCGACCGTCAAAATACGGATCCGGATCCGTTTACTCAAAACGTTGACCGAAGTCAACTCAAATTAATTTTTAAGTCTAAAATTTCATATTTTTTTTAGTTTTTAACATATAAGCCTTCCGAAGAACACCTGGATTGTACACGCAAATTGAGGAAGGCTAAAATAAGGTTTTTGAGACCTCGAAACACAGAATTAGGTTCTGAAACCTAAGATGACCTACATCACAAGAATTAAAATGGCACTTGACATATAAAATATATTTGATATATAAATTAAAAATACATCTTAAAATAAGATGGCACTTCACAAATAAATATACAAAAATTATATATATAAAAATATATTCTGAATTAAAGTGATACTTAATATACAACGTAAAAAGATGTATAAATCAATACATCTTGAATTTAGATGGCATTCACATATGCATCAAATTTTAAAAAATGGAGTGAAGAAGATGAATGTTGGGCTTAATTTTTATAATATGCTAATAATGAGAAAAAAGTGCTTTTTATGGAATAAATAATAAATGATTCTATTTTTTTTAAATAATAGTTAAAAAGGATCAAGTGTGTAAAAAAAACTTTAAAAGATAATAACAATTTGAAAAAAACCTAAACTCATGTGTCGGCCTATTACAAAAACAAAGAGCCATTTTATTAATATAAAGTGTGAGCCTGACAAAATCGGGCTTGGCAGCCCCCTTTATTGCCATAAATTAAACTTCAATCCATAAGGTGTTCCAAAGTGGGCCTGAATAGTGGCCAGACCCAAAACTTTGCAAGAAAACAATAACTACTGAAACAAACAGGTTCTTCTACAAAAATGAAATTCAGCATGCAATCAGCTTAACAAATGCCAGGAAGAATTATATCTATACTTCACTACCACAGTTAAGCATTTCAACAGATATAAACACTAAACTCATACTGAATTGCTATACAACAGCGTTCCATGGTTTGAAATAACTATCAATCTACTGACTCGACACAACTACATTCACTAATGATGAACCAGATTATTACATTTCTGTACTAGGAACTATACTAAACTAGAATTAAACTATTACACAAATGACCACTTTCAAGTGGTGGAACTTTAAAAAATCAGGCCAAGCACTGGTCAGATTTCTAAATTCGTCACCAACACTTTTGGCGTGTTACTTCTTAAACCACAAACCACAAACCTACAGGGAAATTGCAGAACTTCATGCGTAAGGAATCCATCAATAGCAACTCAAAATTTTGACAAACAAAGATAAAAATAAAACAAAATAGATTTCCTGATTGTTTCTTATTATTATTCAAATTTCTTGTATGGTTTTAGGCATTCATCACATCAGGTACTTCAAACCGAACTCACACTTGCAGTCAAATATGAAAGAGCATTCAGTATACATGTAAATGAACAGACAACTGAGATTTCATAGCAATATGATATTCAAATAGTGATTAAATTATTTGAGACCACAAGCACATACCTTAACAGTAGTAGTGCAACTTAGAATAGGCAAATAAGGCTAGAGAAAGGAAAACTGGAGCTCAGCAAGAGTAGAAGCGTCAGATTCAACAACACTTTAACACCAAAATAGCATCTATGAACCCAGAAAATGAAACAACCAGCCACAGACTTGAGCAAACACATAAATCGTTTCTCTATTCTGTTTTCCTTTTGTTTTCTCTTTTTTTTTGGAATTTTCTGCTTAAGATCTCAGATTTAGAAGTTTTTTGATTTCTCAGAAGCTTTCTGCGAGTGTATTCTTTTAGAGGAAAGCAGGGTGAATACACCTCTGTGTGAAGGAGTGTGAGGTATCTTTTATAGAGTGTAGGAGGGTGTCCTATATGAGGGAAAATGGGAGGGAATATATGGAATGTCAGCTGAAAATTAGGGGATGAGGCATCTTTTTTTTCAACCAAAATGGACAGCTGTTCTATTTTCAGATGTTTATCTAATTTTCAGCATCTTTCCCTTAATAAATTTGGACAACTGTCGTCCATCATCCAGAAGCTTCTTCTTATTTTCCAGCTCTTTTTACTTTTGTTTTTACCTCTTTTTCACCCCAAGTTTTATCTAATTGTACTTTAATCCCTTCTAATACCTGCTAACAATTCTTAACAGCTCAACAAAAGATTCCTTACTTTCTATCTCTCTCAACCCCCTCTTTTTAGACCTAAATACCAACGTAGGGCAATTAACAAGACTAGTCTAATTAAACAAAAAACAGCTAAGATACAATTAATTAGAGGAACAAAAGAAACAAGAATGGGGAAAGAATTATGCTATTCAAAACAGAAAATACTTACAACCTAAAAAAATTTTGATGATTAACCTAAAGTAATTAACTAATCAAAGTCATGCAATTAAACTATTAATTAAATTATGCAAACACATAATCAAATGACATCAAATCCTAACATGCTGACAAGTAAAAAAAAAAAAGATTAAAACTCGTGAAAACCGAAGAAAAGGAAACAAAAAAAGGACACAAGATTACCTAAAACATAACAAGAAGGCCTTGTGCCAAACGTTTAGTCAACCACTAAGTCCGAATACTTTTGAAATGAGCCGAAAGTAACGTCAATCGATTGTTCTGGTTGAGAACAAACAATTAATGTGAGTTTCAACTCGAATTGTGTTCTCAAAACTTCAAGAATTGAAAAAGGTGGAACTAGGTTTTTTGGGGTTCTTGGATCTGGAAATTATGGATTTTGGGGAGGTTTCTAGAGAAATTGATAGGGGATTACATATTAGGAGGAATGGGGAGTGTAGGATAAAGATTTGGGGGTGCTTGGGGTGGTGACCACCAGTGTGGATTTTAGGGCGGCTAGGGTTCGCTAGAGAGAGAAGGACTAGGGTTAGGAGATGGAAGTGAGTTGATCTCTAAGGGTTTAAGAGGGTTATTCAGACAGATTTAAGGGGAGGAGGAGCTTAGTTCCTGACCGTAGGATTTGATCAAATGAACGGCCAGGATTACACGTTACTAAAAAGGCGTCGTTTGGGGGTGTTAGGGAGCTAAACCGGATTGGGTTTATGGAGATTGGGCTGGGCAGTGTGGGGTTTGTGGGCAATTGGGCCAACTGAAATTGCTTTGGCCCAAATTCGAAATAAAACCAAGCAAAGCCTTTCCTTTCTTTCTTTCTTTTTCGTTGATTTTTTAAATCCTAAACAAATTAAATAAAATCCAAAATTAAATCCTAACTTAGTCTAATTTTTAAAATTAACCTTACTTATTTATTTTCCATTAACTTAACACTAATTAATTTAAAACTAAAAGCTAAAACGTAAATATGACCATTGTATTTTTGTGATTTTCACTTGCTAATGCACTTAATTAACATAATTAAATCCTAAATGCAATTAAGATCTACATGCTATGAGGTGAATAGTTGAACATTGTTTTAATGATTTTCTATGGTTTTAAAATGCACAAAAATGCAACTAAATACAAACAAACAATTAAAAAAAAATCCCAAAAAATTCTATAAAAATCAAAACAACTAAGACTTTTTTTTTTTTTGGATTTTGTGGGAGTATTTTTTTTGCGGGGCAAAAATTACGTGCTCACAACTGCCACTTTTTGCTCGGAAACATGAAGAGTTACAGTAAAAGATAAAGTGAGCAATTACGAGCAATGTTTACCCGTTTGATACTCCATAGGAAGCATATTGAAAATGTTTGACCGAACCTTGTTTTAGAGGTTGCCTACATATTCTTGGCTATAAAGGAATCAAGCCAGTATAGTTCTAAAAATTTTGGTAACTAGGACTACCGAAGAGCTGTGATTTCACTGCTGTTGCTGCTGTTGCTGCTTGCTGAACTCTGTATTACACCAAAATCAAAATGAAAAGAAACTAAACAAGCCTATCAGCTATGAGTTACAAGATTTCTATCTATAAGTCTCTTGAAGCTTGATATTGAGTCTTGGTTGGTTCTTCACGCAGACTCTGATCTGAATATTGATGCTTGCTAGCTGCAGGTGCTAGTTCATTCTTCTATGACTTCTTCTAATCGAAACGAGACATGCAATGCTCGTGACTTTACTCATGTCTGGAGCAATCTACATCTTTTCGTCAACTTTTGCACTTTGGGTTCACTTTTTTCTTTTATTCTGGATGAGACTTCTTCTTTCGGTCATCTCGAACCCCTGTGCCTCGAGGTAAAACCTGCTCAGACACCCAAAACAAAACGAACGAATGAAAGTTTTCTACCCCAGTTTTTACTAGGAAAGTTTCGTGAGTTATTTGTAATAAAACTCTATACAACTTCATTATTGAAAGCAATAAAAGGCTGGGATTGGTGTACCCTGGGAAAACATGGACTAAGGAGTGGAAACCTTATGTCAAAATAAAATCAACTAGGGAGTGGAGACCCTATGTCTAAAATAAAATCAACTAGGGAGTGGAGACCCTATGTTGGAAAAGCGACTAGGGAGTGGAGACCTTATGTCTAAAAATAAAATCAACTAGGGAGTGGAGACCCTATGTTGGAAACCGACTAGGGAGTGGAAACCCTACGTCTAAAAATAAAATCAACTAGGGAGTGGAGACCCAATGTTGGAAAAGCGACTAGGGAGTGGAGACCGTATGTCTAAAATAAAATCAACTAGGGAGTGGAGACCCTATGTTGGAAAAATGACTAGGGAGTGGAGACCCTATGTCTAAAATAAACTCAACTAGGGAGTGGAGACCCAATGTTGGAAAAGTGACTAGGAAGTGGAGACCCTATGTCTAAAATAAAATCAACTAGGGACTTAAGACCCTATGTTGGAAAAGCGATTAGGGAGTAGAGACCCTATGTCTAAAAATAAAATCAACTAGAGAGTGGAGACCCTATGTTGGAAAATCGACTAGGGAGTGAAGACCCTATGTCTAAAAATAAAATCAACTTAGGAGTGGAGACCCTATGTTGGAAAAGCGACTAGTGAAAGGAGACTCTATATCTAAAATATCATCAACTAGGTAGTGGAGACCCTATGTTGGAAAAGAGACTAGGGAGTGAAGACCCTATGTCTA